TGCATTGGGTGCTAGGGGGACGTCTGCGGAGTAATATGGAATATAGAATCAAACGCAAGCGCGCACGGACATGAGCGCCTCGTGGCTTCTAGGGTATATCGTAACATGCACTTACCGAAATCGAGTATGTTGGTGAGACCGTCTTCTAAACCTTTGATGCGCAGTTGTATGCTGAAGTTTCCGTTACGATAAGGAATACTCATACGCCGCCGTAACTTTCTTGAAGAGTTTCCAAGAGGGAAGGATGCGAAGGAGACTGAATAAGCTGCGAAAGAGTGGTATGCCGTGCTTATAGATGGTGGATGGGGCAACATCCCCTGGCTCGTCGTTGTAGTCGGTGTGAGAGAGGGAGGGGGTGAAGCTGAAGGAGCCAGTTCTCGAGGAGAATATGTTGTGGAGTTGGATCGATGCGGACGCGAGAGGAATCAGGAGCGAGGTACACAAGGACTTGATTGGTGGTTAGCTCAGGGATCGACAACAAGACTTGTAGTTCCAAAGGGGGAGGAGTAGGGGTTGAAGAGACTGCGCGATATATTCTGAGGTGATCTTTGAAGATGTCAGAATCGGGGGTCTCAAGATTGAACTGTAGGACGATTGTGAGCAGCGATTGCCAGTGAGTGGTATGGAGTTTGGATGAACGTACCCATTTATCGGGTTTACCCTGAGACCTTGGCTCAGTGGTTGTTCTGGCATTGTTAACGACGAGGCACAGCTTAGTGTAGAATCTGTGAGCTATTTGGTCGGCCTTCTGTATGTCACTTGACATGGTAGAGAGGCGTGCGCGTGAGGGGTAGTGGTACTAGTAATAGTTGTAAGGATAGTAGGGAGCGAGGCGAGTGACGTCGAGGGAGAATATTAGGGCAGGGACAACATTAGAGTACAGAATCTAGAGAACAAATAGAGAAAGGAAGAAAGCAGGAGGAAAGGTCGTGGCTCAGTGTCTGCACGAGCGTGCAGTGTTCAACTGGGAAATGAATCAATGACCAGTTGATGACCAGCAAGCAGTATGCTGCAGACCACAGCTATAATAGCTATTTCTAGAGTCACATTAGATAAGCAGACTCCTCGCATCCAAGTCAGGCTAGTCAGGCTGTCAGGCCAACTTGTCCGCCATCCTACCCAATCGCAGCACGCAGCCTACAAGAAAATGCGACTATCACGCCAAGTGCTGCCGCCAAAAAGCCACCGCAGCGCAGTTTATGGAACAAAAACATCCTTTCTGGTCGTGGAGCCATTGATAATATTTCTCTTTGATCGCATGACCCTCGAGTGAAACTTCTCTACGGCCCAAGTACTGCACAGCGCTGTCCAGCTCTCTATAGGTGACTCAACGTGAGTTCTCAGGTTCACGCTGAGGCTGTACACCCCTAGTACTGCCGTTAACTTCGACATCCAGTTTTTCCAGTCTCGAAAAACATCGTTTCACTCGCATGCAAATCCATCCCTGCCCTTACGTCCACTTATTGTTTTTGGCCTTTTGTTCTTGATGGACCACTTGTTCACAAATCTCGCGCAACTATACTGCTCGCGACATAAATACGCAGCCGAGTCAACCCAACTTTTCGGCACCTATGTAAAGGCTCTATTGAAATCTTCGATCTTCGAGGCCTCGGGATTGGTTGTTACTTCCTGTGGGGCCGCATATCGCATCAAACGTGGAGACCTCCAGGCGCTGTCCGAGTCATCTCGTCCTCGTGGCGTTACTGTCATCACAAACACAATCACCCCAAATTTCCAAGTTTTGATGAACGTGGACCAGACACGATGACGACGTCCGCTTTATGAGCGGCTTCTTCATTCTCGGCTGGCCCATTACTGTTACGCCCACGGAGAGGCAAGTATGTTGGGATAACATTGAATAGCTTGTGATAGGGGCTGCGAAGTTCGCTGGTTCATTCAGCGAACCACGAGGCCAATACCAGCATCATGACTACTCACTGGAGCGCCCTCATGACTTCTTGTGTGTTCTTGGACGCATCATTACTTCTTACGCAGCGCCTCACGTCACGGCGCAACTTGCGCTCGCCTTTAGATCGGTGTCTCCTGCGCCATTGCAGTCCCTCCAATTACCCTTGAACACCTTCTGAGTCTCCTATCCTCCCTCGTTGATTCAGGTATGTATACTTAGGTTAGGTACCTACCTTTGTTTTCCTCACCGCAAAGCAGCTTGCTGTACGCTTCATTGGCGATCTTAAAATTGGATACAAGCGTCATGTATAGTCAGGTGTATTTTACAGCCACCAAAACTGATAATCGATCATGTCAATGACAGGTGAATCATTCCCATCTCGTCCATTAATACCGTTCCCAAGCGTTATCTTCTCTTGCTTCTGTAGTCACGCTTTAGTCGTTTCGGCAAGTAGGTTTATCGTTGCGGCTCTGTGAAAAGTAGATCACCCCTGACACCATCATATCATGATAAAGTTATCTAGTACGAATGTACTATAGGCAGTTTGTGACTCCATTACCCGACACCAATGTCGTTAGATACCCATGGCTGGCTGTCACCAGCACAGAGTCACACAAGATCAAAAGGATTCATCAATTAACGGTGTTCTTTCGCTAAACACCTGACATCTAACGCGGCGCCGACATTTGAAAGCGGGCTTTAGCCACGTCCGAGACGTCCCATTCATAACCATTTGCTAAGGAAAGGATCCCTGATCTCGTACATTCCTCGGTGACAAACACGCTCGGTACTTCGCAAGTCGAAAATCGCCAGAATATCCCCGCAGGCACACTCGCACAGGAAGCTAAATTTTTAGTGACTTTTCACCACGACAGTGTCTCCTGTATGGTCAAGGGTTTTGTAAGGGAGGCAGTGCCTTCTGTACAGGACAGGCTATGCCTGAGCTTCTTCCTAGCTTTCCCAATTAGGCAAGCGTCGTGGTTAAACGCGATGGCTAGACTTGCCACCACCGTCATAGCCCTGCTGTTCCAGATAAGTTTTCCTCCAATAAACGGTCACACAGCACTGAGTTATCTTTCTTTTGTATTTCGGACTAGGTGAGGCGTCTAACAGTGATCGCGGGCCAGTGCACGTATAGCGTTGACACCTGTGAGTCATTGGGAACGCGCCCATATCAATTGACCAATGCTCGTGATCATTTGAATCAGGAATCTTGAAGCCACTCCCACAAGGTCCCCTTTACCATGGTGACGATATCCTATGTGTTATGCTCCACCTCATTTCCTTCTCGGGCCCGAGACAGCCATCGGTCGTTTCATCCCGGCACATTCACAAAGAGTCGCCTTCAGATGTTGAGGTAAGAATGCAGGGTAGATTCCCCATATCTCCCTGAATAAATATATGTAAGGTTCCTAGTCCAAGTCGAAATTAGATTGCAACGTCGGTGCAGTTGAGATAGCGCCGCGTCATTCCTGTGGTTAATAAGTGATCGATGATCAAGATGTAACCTGTCCTTCTTGTACACCATGTCTCAGCCGATGATCGTTCTGTACGACGTACCTTCTGATGTCCCGCAGCCTTGGGCACCTAATATTTGGCGGATACGGTGAGTCTCTGCTTGTCTTCGTTAGCTGTGGTTCAACGCCAGCTGAGCGCTATCCAGGTTGATCCTCAATTATAAACGCCTCCCTTACCGCACCTGCTGGGTCGACTTCCCAAACATCGAACAGACCCTCCGCTCCGTCAACGCGCTTCCCACCTCTGTCAGAAGCGATGGCAGCCCCGTCTACACCCTCCCCGCCATCCTCGACCCCATCCGATCGTCTCAACACCCCGTCGTGCTCTCCAACGCCAACACCATCGCCGAGTACCTCGAATGCACCTACCCGGCTCGCCAATTATTTCCAGAAGGTTCGCGCGCGCTCCAGTCGCTGTTCGTACACTACATTGCACATACATTTGTGAAACCCCTCTTGCCCATCATGGTGCCCCTGAGCCACCAACGCCTTCCGGAGCGCTCGCAAACACACTTCCACACCAGATCACTGGTCCCCCTCTCCCCTACCCCTGAGCGGGAACAGGCGTGGAGAGCCGTCCAGGACCAGTTTGATTTTTTAGCTGAGGTGCTTGAGAAGAACTCGGGAACGGACGGTGATGGTGTCGTTGCGATGGGCCACGAGCTCACGTATGCGGATTTTGCGGTGTGCTCGGTGCTTATTTGGATAGAGAAGGTTGCCCCGCATGAGGGGTGGGCTAGGGTTAGGCAGTGGAATGGTGGGCGGTGGGGGAGGTTGTGGGAGAGGTGTCAGGGATATATGGATGTTTTCTGAACCGATTCAAAGATTTTTGTGTTTGTGTGTCGGGAGGACAAGTGCGGTATCGGAGTAGTTCAACAAACTACCTAATTGTATGTACTTCAGATGGAAATGGGAGAGAACGAACTTGAGAGCTTAAAAGAATCATAACGGCGAGTGCAAAACGAAAAACAATACATATAATAACATAGATAGTGAGCATTGGATGAAAATTGCGACTGATGTTACTGATACACTGGCTTAGCGGATGCATGGAGACGCCAGCACGGGAGGGACACTCCGCGATGCTCCACGGACCCCAGAAACACCAGCAACCGCTGCAGAAATTCTAGAGACGCTTGAATTTGATCCTGTGACTCTCGGTGATGCTCCAGAGGCGCCCAGGAGGAATGGAATCTGAAGTGCTGAAGCTTGAAGTCGAAGGTCATACCGTTTCTTTCCAGGATGCACTCCTCTCCGTCGTCCGAGTGGAGCCAGGCGACCCTACAGCTGTGCCCGTACGAGTGAATTACATGATATTTCAAGAGGGGTTAGAGTCTTTCGGTGGTTTTTGTGAGTCATTGTATCATTTTGTATGTATAGATGTCAGTGCTACTCCCAATCAAAAAAGTTAACAGCGAGAGGCTGGCTGAAAATTAAAATGTTGAGTCTTGAGAAATTTCGACCGGGCAAAAGTGACAATGAAATACTGTAATGTGCAGTCTCCCCAGAGAGCACGAAGGAAGAGTAGCTGTGAAGTTTAGGAGAGCAACAGTGGCCCTGCCCAACAAAAACAATGCCCACTGGCTGGATTGAACAACCGACCTCGTCATTTCCATACAAGTGACGCGCTACTACCACTGAGCTAAGCGGGCTCATCAAAGCGGCTGTTCCTACATTTGATGAAACAGATGGGCTAATGATCGGTACTAGTGTTCTACAATGCAGTTCGGACGAGACTGACTTGTCAGGAACACAAGCAGACCGAAGTACAAGGTTATAATAATAATTTTGTGCTACTTCCAGTGAAAGTGAATAGAAACAACTTCCAATTTATGTAGCTCAGACGACCTATAACCTATGCAGTCCACACCTTCGCAATCAACTCCGTCAAACCTGACAAATGAGTTAGTTCGTGTGACCTCACGCGAGTTATGAGAAGTCGTCATGAAACCTACCGATGTCGTTGGTGTTGAATTGGTACACACCAACCAACACGCCAACAGTAGCAGTCCTGAGTGCCCACGTCGCGATGGGCCCAATGATGGGGAATTTGCGCTTGTGGAGATAGTCGACAATGATGGCGTCAAACTGAGACATGGGTTAATAACACTAGAGCGGATGATGCCCTAACAGGACCCACCCCGATATGACTGTGCATCACCAAGGATATGCCCAGAAGACCATCGAGGAGGGGGTAAGCGGATCCCGAGGTTGCAAATGCTGCTGCGGTCATGGGTACCAAAGCTGCAGATAGAAGACGCTCGAATGCCCAGTGGTAGGAACCATGAGTCTTTGAAGGGGGCGGGAACGTGGTAGGGTCGTTGACGGTTCCCTTGATGATTGCTGCATACCACTACATGTCAAAACGTGGAATTAGCAGACGAGCAGTGAATACTTACGTCCACCTGGAACATATTGCATAGCCGAACTAGCAGTGTGTCTGACTACAAAACATTTCAGTATTTGGTATTGGGAGACATTGTCAAATGGGAAGAGTATACCTTGGAGAGCGGACCGCAAAACGTTGCGGCCGGTCGTTGAGGCGAAAGCTCTGGGCAAGGTCGAGCGCAACAGAATAGACGCAGACATCGTCGTTGACTATGTCAGATGAAACAAGGGAGTGAACCAGCAAAAGTAACGGCGAGCGGATGGGCGTGGATAATGCGTCGCTTTGTGTGGGGGACGATAGGCTTCGCGCCAATCATATGCTTCCGGTTGCAACCGTAGTCACGTGAGGTTGCGGCTCTTCCGCACTCCGGCTTTACTCGGACAAAGGGTCACCTGATGTGCGTGAGATTCTTACAACTTGACGAGGACAGTCAGCTTGAGATTATGGGTGCTCTGGCAGTTGAGACACGTCCCCCCGAACCTCACGCTTCCCACAGATGCGGAGATGTTTTGATCTGGATTGCTTCTACCTTTGTGAGGGAACCCGTAGGGGACATTGTCTCTCCTGCAAAGTCACGCTTGATCTGGAAGCGCTGCTACCCCAACGAAGCAGACTTACCTCACCATGTCGAATTACCACAAATCATCTGCCAGGCCTTACTCTCATGTGAACACGACCGTGGTGCAGCTTCTCGTGAACACCCCCACATGGCCATGTCCGAGGGAACGTATTCTTGAATTCACTCCTACATATGACATGAGAGCTGCCCTGTTTTGCGACGTTCCTCTCCATTATTATCAGGATGAAAAAAAAAACGACGCAGAGGACAGCATGTATGTCCTCCGTGATGTCAAGGACGAGACGAGACGCCGCATTGGCCTATCGACGGCTTGCCCCAGCGGTCTGGCCACCAGATTAGAGGTGTCAATGCCCCTGATATTGCTTGTGTGAGTTCCCCATTCTTCAGCCTGGTGCGTCTTCACGTCCCACATCCTGATTCTCTCGTCCTCTCCACCGCTCAGGACCGTCGTCCTATATCCCATAGCTGCGAGACAGTAAATCCGGCCATTGTGCTCCATTGACGTCTCTTGCTGAAGTTGCCACATTCCATATGCTGACCGTCTTATCATACGAGCATGTGAAAGCCGCAGGTACCACGGTCAAGGACTGGCAACAATGATAATAAGTGCAACATGTATATACAGTTCGAAGCGACAGAGTCCGAGTGTCTCCAGTCCATTATCTAGTCCATTGCTAGAAGCGCACAATCAGAAGATGTGTGGAACCTCCTCCATCCCCTTTCACGTCGCCTCATCTTGTTGCGGACAGGCCAGGAGCGCCATCAGCAGCTCCAAGCTCCCCCCACTGCCGCAGATACTGATTGTAGGCGATGACGCTTTGTATCCCATGGTCACCACAGTACTGCAATCCAAAGACAGCAAGAAAGCATAAATGCTTCCAAAATTTCTTCCCTTTCTCCTCTGTATTATTGGGATACAGTGTTATCACCACGGCGTAGGAGGCTCTACAGAACCAGTAGCGATGACTGGTCAGCGGGTTGTAGTGTGGATTCGTCAAAGAGACATGAAGCAGGATCTTGCTGAGGTCGGAGAGACGAGGGGCATGCTCAGGTAGCCACGTCAGGGTTATGAGAGGTGGTGTAGTGAGCCTTTCCTGAAGGTTTGCGTCGTTGGACACAACTGTGACCTGATCCAAGACACTGTCTCGTCGTCCCACCAACCTGTCAATCCCTCGCCCTATACTGATGTAGTAGGGTATGTGTTCTGGTACTACTGGGTTGTTTTCACAATCGACAGGGATGATACGGAGTAAGAGCGACTCGTGCTGACAGTCCTTGCACCCCTTTTTTTCGTGACGAATGGAGTCGACAATGAACACTGGGGATGACTGGTGTGCCTGGGCTCTGAGGACGGCAGCACACCAAGTGTGGAGGAGATATGTGGTAGGACGCGATAGGAGTCTGTCCATGGCCGGTGGTCTGTCCATGGCTGGTGGCAATTTCAAGGACGCGAATGAGGGAAAAAGAGCAGAATAAGTAGGAAGAGAGTTGGAAGAATCCATGTTAGAGTTGCCAGATAAATATTGGTCTCAGACCAGTTTAAAATCGAACTGTTCAGATGTATAGGAGACCGAGAGCGCTACATTAGTGATTTCTGAATCCTGGTCACATCCCGCCACTGATGCCCATATTAGGAAGCAATGATGCATCGATGAATATCGATGAATCTTGACGCGGATGTTTCTGATTCTTCTGAATTGCGCTTGAACAAGCATCGAGGCACTGAACACCTCAGCAACACGAGGGGACAGGTCTTCTACACGTATCAACCTAACTTTTAGGTCGGACGATTGGCGACTAATGGCCCTTTGTAAGTACAGGTAAACACTTGGGGGCAATGACTTCTCGCTTTTGAATGCTGCACTAGGAATGCCGTTGCATCAGTATAAGAGCACACAACTTGACCCCGAGTCACGTACCATCCAAGTCAGCCCCCCGCTTTTGGGACGCGTTCACTCCAAGGTCTTGTCGATGGACCAAGTCCTTCACTCCACTACATTTGGTACGAACGATTTTTTCTGAAACCAAATGAAGACTGTTCGAATCGATCAAGAAAACCGCCTTCATAGTTCACTTCAACCACTCACATTTATGGATGTGAATATATTTGAATTCTACAGTTCAGAAAATATAGCAAAGTTTCGGTTCATCAGTAAAACTTGAAAGCTGTCATTTCACATAAGCGGCCTCAAGAGTCCCACAGTGATATTGTACAGTTGAAAAGGTCATACTGCATACCGGTGGGGCTGTCGAAACTTGATGTATTACGAGGCTGATGCAACATTGACTATGTCACAACGTGTGACATGCTGTGACCCCCCTCTGAAGCGTGACACTAGAGTGGAAGCTGTGGAACATTTATAAGTTACAGTTGAAGTTCTCATAGTGCATAACGTCGGGAAGGCTACTATGGTGATGCAGCATTAGACGTATGCAATTCAAGTTGGGTGTGACTAAATGTAACACATGTCACAGCATGACTAATGTGACTGCATGCTGAACTGGCTGCTTCAACATTGCCTGCTCCTGCCTTCACAATTTGATGCTAGGTCCAATGTCACATCCTGTGTCCCATGGCTAATGCAAATCCTTTCTATCTACTCAGTAATTCAAATCATTTCCCCAAGTCTCATTGCAATTTGCAGTTCTACTATCTGCATCCTCATTGGAAGAGTCTTAAAATGCTGAACAACTGTATCTTGAGCAATACCAGGATGCTTGTCAATGAACTTGAAAACCATTATCAGCCAGTCATGAAGTGTGACAAAATTCCAATGAAGGGCAGAGATGCCCAGAACTGTTGTACATTAGCTGCAGCCTACAGGTAAATGGTAATAGTAAGGGAATAGAAACTCACCTCAGCTGCTGCTTAACTTAAAGTGGGTGAAAATGACTGAGGTTCAATAAGTGAATGAAGAGATTAAATGTCATGAGTGAAGATGTGATTGTATAAATAGTTAGTTATCAGGAACTTGAAAACATGTGTGAGATAGGGAGCATGAGAATAGATCTGTCAAGACATGTCCAACAGTGAGATAAAGTATTCTAATACTCTAGGGACTGCAGTATTGATTGAAAGAGGGTTTCCCCAGTCAAGTCCAGTCAAGTTCTGACTCAGTCTGGGAATGACTGGAGATAGTGTAACCAGAGATAGAGTTCTGATACTCACTATATTTTGTCATGAGGTTGACTCATTTGGTCTTTGGGCCTTTGGCACATTCTTGTCATGAATGCATTTAGATTGATGAGGCTTGTATGCCAGTGGAGCGTGGTGTGCATGAGACTTTCATTTTTGCCCCAAGTTTGGTGGACTATGTTCAAGGGAGCATTTAAAATATTCTATTGTATCATTGTGGAATATAATTCTCCACCAATTTTTAGTGCAGGGCTTGTTTCTACCCTTGGACCTGGTGATGGAGTCCAACAATATGCTAAAATGTTCAGCTGGCCTGCATTTTCTGCCATACTCAAAATGCATATTTCCCCAAAAATCATGATGCATGATGCACTATGCAATTTCTCTGCTAACCAACTCGGGAAGTGGCCAGAGTTGATGTATTGTTAGAATTATGCATCACAGAATCATGCATTATGAGGACTTCAACTGTATTACAGTAGTGACAGTAGTAATTCTGATAAAATGCAGGATAGATCAAAGGAAAAAGTACTGGGATCACCACATT